ACACAGTGAGTTTGAGAACTATTGCAGTCTAGGAATGAACTCTTTCTTTAATGAATACTTTTCAGATGCTGGGAAGTTTCATTTTTTAGTTGACTCACTCTTATTTTATATTTTATTTATTAACCATATTGCAGGATCTCTTTTACATAGTACTTATGGATTCTGAATAGGTATTCTTCTGAAGTGGAAGCCAATAGGGAATCTTGGAAAAAGCAGATGCTTCCCGGATTTGATTTGCTTTTCAAGTCATGTCACCCCCCCCCCCCCCCCCAGGCATCCCTTGTCTTCAGGAACACCTCCTTTGAGAATGATCCGCAGCTTGGAGTGCTCCATTTTTGCTAGTCTGGCTGACCCTGGAGCTCCCAGGAATCCTCTTGTCTCTATTTCCCAGTGCTGGAATAACAAGTTCTCCCCACACTTGGCTTTTTATGTATGTGAGGATTTGAACTAGGTTTTCATGCTTGCAGAAGTGAGCTATCTCCAGCATGTTTTGTTTTAATTCAAATCCTAATAAAAGGGTAAATTCATAATTGGATAGTTATAATTTTATTAACATTTTTGTCACTTAGAATTTGAACTCAAGGTCTTGCATCTGGTAGTTAGGCATGAGGTTTACCATTGGAATGTATAAAGAAATAAAAAGGAAAAAGGAAGGACATGACTGCTTCTAGGTATGGTGGGGGAAAGGTTTATTGTAGATAAAAGGGAGAGCATAGCCAGAGACAGGATTATCTGGGAGAGTCCAGAGTGAACATGCCACTCAGCCAGGCCATGTGAGGAGAGGGGGAAAGGGAGGAGGAGAGCCAGGAGAGTAAAGAGTAGATGGTGTGTGTTGGGGTGGGAGTGGGGGTGTAACCAAAAAGGCTGGATTATATAAGGAAGCGCAGCTCAGCCCCTGAGCTGGAGAAATTTAGGGTAGGGGGTGGTGTGTGCCAGCCATACCCTGTAACAGGTAGGGACTGAGGGATGCAGGGAAAACCTGGCAGCCAGGTCCACTTTAATATGTTAAATAGGTACCTCAGCCATTTGTCCAAGAGTTTGAGACCTAACATCCCAGTGTTTTTGTTGATAATCAGTGATAAGGGGGGGATGAAGTCTTTTCTATGACTGCTTCCTGTTGACATTGGGGACCCAAGACAGCAGGAATGCTGGCCAAGACCTGGAAGAGCAGGGTTTTTCCCATGCTGTCCAGATTCTATGGGACCTTCTGGAGCTAGGGAAGTGCAGGCCACATTGGAGCAGTCTATGAGGCTGGACCAGCTGGGGCTAGCTACTTTGAAGTAATCTAGGCTGCAGAGGCTCAGGCTGGTTGGAAAGTCCATCTGAATGAAGCAGTTGGGGCTGTTGATTTTGGAGCAGTTTGCAGTACTTAGTTGATTGGAAATATGCTGGAACAGATAGAGATTAGGGATAGAAGGTAAAGTTAAAGGATCTTAGGGGACATATTTTTTAATAATTTATTTTTACTTTATGAGCATTGATTGGTGTATGCCTGCATGTATGTGTGGGCTGATGTGTCATATCCTCTGGATCTGGAGTTGTAAACTGCCATGTGGGTGCTGGGAATTGAACTTGTGTCCCCTGGAAGATCAGCTAATGTTCTTAACCACTGAGCCATCTCTCCAGCTCCTAGGGGTAAATTTTTAATCGAGAGTATACATTTGAAACTTTCAGACCCATGGTCTTGGTAGTTGGAGGGCTGGATTCCCAAGACCAAGGGGGTAGGAGGGGGTAGGAGGAGAGAGGGAGGAAGAAAGGAAAGGAAAGGAAAGGAAAAGGAGGGAGGGAGGGAGGGAGGGAGGAAGGAAGGAAGGAAGGAAGGAAGGAAGGAAGGAAGGAAGGAAGGAAGGAAGGAGATCCCAATCTCAGGAATAGGGCAGGTGGGGAAAATTTATGAGTACTTGAGTCTGGCCTGCAAGAGGTGATTCAAGTTGATTCCCTGAAGCCATTACCTAGATGGTTGCCCTAGGCTCCTGTGGGCTCTGTCTTCATTTGAGGCAGTGTTCAAATAGGACAGCATTTAATCTTTAGTTGCCACACAGAGCAGCCTTGGCCAGACCCAGGTCTGAGAGATGTTCCTGTGGAAAGGACTTGGGGGACTTGACCAGGCAGAGTATAGCAGTTAACCCACAAGTGTCCCTGGCAGCATCAAAATAAAGCTTTAAGCCATACATATAGTCCATAGGAAGACTGGGAACTTTTCTTTTATAGGGCACCATTATATCAATTTTTTGCATGACTCGGTTAATCCAGATAGCTAAAGCTTAAGAAAAGCTTAATAAAGTGAGCAGAGACAATGAAGCTAGATGGCTATTACTCTGACCCTGAGTAGACCTTAGGAATTTATAGACCTTATCAAATATACCTTATTTGTCAAACACATGTTGTTATCTTAGTTTTCTAGAAGCCTGGAGTTGAACAGTTAGCAAAGAGACATAAGTAGTTAGCTGTAAATCTCTAAGTCAGCTTTGTTCATCCAAGTAGACCTGTAATAACCTTAAAATTTTATCATCATAATCCATACCAATCCAAAATATTTTGGAGACCCCTGTTGTTGTTTCATTAGTCCAAAAGGGGAAACAGAGGGCTCAGTAGGACTAAAAAGAAGTATAGGTGTTGCCTTAATTGGCTTATTTTATATGGTCATCATAAGATGGTGGTTAAGTCCCTTGGCATATACCTTTTAACCCTAGTAAAGATGGCTGCCAGCCATGGAGCTGTTATTTAAAGGTTTATTTTTTTTGTAGATCACTTTTTATTTTTTATTCAAGAGTTGAATCCAACTGGGCCGTGATGGTGCACACCTTTACTCCCAGTACTCAGGAAGCAGAAGTCAAGGCTACACAGAGAACCCTGTCTTGAAAAAACAAACAAAAAAGAGTTGAATCTAAGTACATATGCAGTATGTTCTAAACAAGAGTTGAATCACATGTATAGTAACTTGTAGCAAATTATTAAGATTGCCTATGTGTAGATTTTAATTATAAGCCTTTTGTTATAAGTTTAAAGCCAAGTTTTGTTACAGATTTATAGATCATTTTTAACCATACCCAATGAACTTACAAATCCTGAGAGAATTTACAGCATAGTCTTAAGAGACTTTGATAGCAGAGCAAGGAGAAATTGTAGAGCTAAAGATTTTTAAGAGTAGGAAGTAGAAGTGTAGAGCAGAGCTAGTTTAGATAAGAGAGATTTGGGGATCATTTGTTTATGCTGTGACAGTTGTTACGATTTGTGAGGATTTGGAAATCAAGTGTGCCAATGTTTGGCCATTGGTACTGAGGCCAAGTTGTTTATAGTCCGGATGTTGAGAAATGAAACTCCACCCTCAGAGGACTTTTCTATAAACTCCCAAAAGTTGCTGAGTGAGAGTGTATAGAGGCCCAGGTGGGCTCAGGCTTAGAGAAGCTTCCGAGTTGCTGGGAGAGGCCTGGGAGGGCTTAAGGAAGAGACAGAGCAGGAAGCTGCAGAGGGTCAAGGAGACTTTAGGAGGGAGCTGAAAGAAAAAACTAGGTACTACAGCAGGACCTGAGAGAGTGGTGGCCTGCAGGATGGACTACAGGGCCTAGGGGGAGGGGAGAGAATGCAACTGAACTGAGGTGGATAAAGAGCCTTTGTGACAAGAATTTCCATCCAGGGTGTCCTCAAGGGGAATGGGAAACTTGTCAGGGAGAAAAGTGTTCCAAATCCCAGAGGAAAGGTGTCCTTCCCATGTGACTGGGGCCTAAATAGGGCGAGAGGAGCTTCCTGTCACCCTGGTGTGGCTTTTGTAGTAATAGTAGACAAAGGAGGCAGCTTGAGGTGACACTTACCCAGTAAAGAGAGATGGGCGAGCAGGGGAAAAGGGAGACGGTAAGTGTCCTTGGTAGAGATCCAGACAGATGTAGCCGGTGGAGCTGCGATGTGAGGCCAGTGTCCAGGTGGCTGGGTTCCTTGGGAGATGGAGAAGGCCCTAGGAGTCAGAGATACATTCATGGCATAGACAAGGACAGGCGTGGTTAGAGCATGTGGGCGTTGGGGGAGAAGTAGTGAGACAGCGGACTCTAGAATTTGGGGTCAAATTTGATAGATGACAGGAGTTATTGGAAACAAGTGATCTCTACAAACCTTAGGAGAGGCAAATCAGCAGCTTGATTCAGAGCAGCCCAGGTACTTGGAAGGGAGCTCATCTATGCCATTCCCGGCTGTGGGTACCGGATGAATGAAAAAAAAATGAAATTAAAAAGGAAGGATATGACTGCTCCTAGGTATGGTGGAGGGGAGGTTTATTATAGATAAAAGGGAGAGCATAGCCAGAGGCAGGGATATCTAGGAGAGTCCAGAGTGAACATGACCCTGAGCCAGGTCATGTTAGGAGAGAGGAAAGGGGGGGAGGAGAGCCAGGAGAGTACAGGATAGACAGTGAGGGTGTGCATGTAACCAAAAAGGCTGGATTATATAGGGAAGGGCAGCTCAGCCCCTGGGCTGGAGAAATGTAGGGTAGGAGGTGGGGTGTGCCAGCCATACCCTGTAACAGGTAGGGACTGAGGGATGCAGGGAAAACCTGGCAGCCAAGTCCAATTTGTATGTTAAATAAGCACCTCAGTTAACTACGTGTCTTCGGGGTTTAGACCTCACATCACTCATCTATAACCCTTAGCATTGTAACTTTATAATAAACATGTAATTTCTAAGAATTTTAGGGAAATTAAGGGGTGAGCAGTCTTGGTATTCTACCTTTTTATTTTCTTTAAATAAAGAGTGCAAGACTTAGAGAGATGGCTCAACAGATAAGAGCACTTGCTACTCTTTTGGATGTTTTTCAGTACCTAAATAATGGCTCATAACTGTCCAAACTCCAGTTCCAGGATATCCTATGCCCTCTACTGGCCTCTGCTGGCATCATGCATGCAGGTGGTGTATATATACACATGCAGGCAAAACACCCATGCACATTAACAAATGTATATGAGCTGGGGACATAGCTCAGTTGGTGGAGTGCTTGCTTAGTTTTTCCAAAGGTGTGGCACCACACAAAACTAGGTGTGGTGGTGAGCAGTCCCAGTACTCACTGGAAGTTGGTGAAAGCTGGATTATCAGAAGTTCAAAGTCATTTTCAGACTCTTAGAAATCAGTGGTAGTCTAGGATGATTGAGTGAGTCCTGCCTCCACAAACAAAAATTCTCCCAAAAGAACAACAACAAAATGTGGCTAAATGCCCTAAAAATGTTGTGACAAAATTAAAGGCATTAATACTATTTATTTCCTTTTAGATAATAGCTATTTAAACTTAATGCCAAAATAGGCTTGATGTGCAATTTAGAATGTGTAGTTTATATTTCTGTTCTTAAAGCTGTTTGTTGTAGTCTAGTATTAAACAGTTAGGTGGAAGTGATTGAATACAATAAAGGTGGGCAAGTGGTTGGAGTTGAAGTTGCAGAAGGTGTGTGAAACCCATTGTATTGGGGCACTCACTGCCAGTTTCTGGTTGTATTTGAAGATTGTCCTAAGTGTGATGTAATACCAGCTTAAGCTTTGAAGATTCAGCTGACACCATCCAGGTCTGAAGTGTATAGGACTTTATGGGCCAAGGGTAGTGCTTGTTTAAAAACAAGGCAAGCTACTCTAGTTTAATGAGGCCAGTTAAGAAAACTTTCCCAGAGTGGGATGAATATATAACCTCAATTTGGAGGTAGAAGTGGAGGTTTACATGCCCTGAGTGTGTTTACATTCTCACTGCACTGGAAGGGGGCATTTGAAATAGATTGGCACACAAGCGGCAGAGTTAGAATTGAGGAAAATAGTAGTTGAGGCCTGGAAATATTGAGTGAGTTGTGGGGGGGAATGTTTTTCTTGAGAATTCACAGGACAAAGCTGACATTAGGAGTGCTTGCCTGGTTGCGCATTTCCCTTCCTCCCTGTGTGTTTCTTACCCTAGAGACTTAGGAAAGCACTGAGATCCTGACCTCCGGAAACATGTTCTACGGGACTTAAGTGCTGCCAAGTGCACAGGCTTCATGTTGCCGTGGCGTCTGCCAGAGCTGTCCAGGTGGTCTGTGGGGCGGGGCTTGGAGCGAGGTCCGCCCCTTCTCGAGGCCCTGCCCCAGGGCCTGCCAGGTGGTGGAGCCTAAGCAGCAGGACGCCAGAGCTGCTGGCCATCTTCTGCTGACCACCCAGTTTAGAGTTCATGGGAGGTGTTGTCTCTCCTGGGGACAGGTCTTAAGACTGAATGGAAGTGAGCAGCCTTCTATGCTTAGGAGCCAAGGGCCTTGCAGGGTCCTCTGGTGCAGGCTGGCCTTGTGGCTTGCAGGAACCTGACGCCTCGATTCTTATGACCTGGAAGCCGCCCGAACCCCTTCTGCATTCCTGGAAGGGAGTCCTGCTCGCATGCTTGCCGACAGTTAGGACCAGGACCAGGAAGAGGAAAGGTACTGACGTAAACACATCTGTTTCCGAGACAGAAACTGGACTGCACGAATCCATAGATTCTGGTTTAGGCTTGGTGAAAGTCGGCATTGAGGGCTCAGTGGAGCTGTGGCAACTCCTGCTTAAATCTAGCTTTTCAGGTGTGTCCAGACTTCTGTGGACTTGTCCTTGGTTTCTACCTTGCAGCTGCTTGTGGATGAGAGGCTTTGTGGCTCAAGATGGAGCCACACTCCATCCTTCTAACTAGGGAATGGTGTAGCAGTTATCTGTGCTGTCATACTTCCAACCACATTTTGTTTATCATGCTGGGTAGAATATCAGTGTGCTTTCTCTAGTGTTTGGAAGGCAATAAAAATACGATGTAACATGAACCCAAACTTACACTGATAAGTGTTAGAGGTGTTTTGCCAGGTCAAAGCACTGGGCTAGTGTTTTTCTTCTGAACTTGGCTATATTGTGTTTAAATATAAACTGAGCTCTTTGATGTGACCGGAACTGTTTGTTTCGAGAAATCACTTTCCAAAATCTGTGTTCTTTTAAGTGAGCCACAGTTAACATGGTGAAGCAGATGGGAAACCCATGGCTTTGGTAATGCCAAGGCCATTGACCTAAAGTGGATAAATCAGCTGCATAAAGAATTTGATCAGGTGGAAAGTAGAATACAGAGGGGCCATTTTATTATGACACCTGGATCACAGGGCTTCAGATGATGAGAGCTAATTCATGTTGTATTCCTCCATGAGTCTGAGCTGTTGTGGTGGAGTTTTGTCATACTGTATGTGTTGGAGATGAAACCAAGGGATATAGGCAAGCTAAACATTTGTTAGTACTGTTTTGCCCTTTGAACTTGCTAGTATTGCTTTAGTAACAAAAGAAAAAAAATTAAACCTCCAGTGCTGCTCTTAGCCCCCTTATTTACAATGTTACTGTCTACTAAAATTCCATTTGTATTGACTTGGTTACATTTGTAACTTCAGTTTTTTTGAAACTTAAAGGTCTTTGCAACAGAGTGATTATAACTGGGAGAATTACTATATTATTTAGTGTGGTCTCAGGGAGTGCACTATTAGGACATTGATCTTTTGTCAACGTCTGAGATAAATTGCACCCTGCCAAATTCCCCAGAGGCAGAGTCCTGGGGAAAGGAGCTTATTGTGCTTGACTGTCACTGGCTGGTCCTTCCTCCAGATGACTCTGAAATCAGTGTGTATAGTTGGTGTTTGCTGCAGCCACACAGGGAACCCAAGGGTGCAGGGGAGTTCTTTGCTTATTGAGTCTGCCCCTCTCCCCATCCTGTGTTTGTGTCTGTGTGATGCTTTTACCCTTACTTCCTCCTATTGTTTCCTGACTTTCCCTTCCCTTTGCATGTTACATGAGATTTGTGCTGCAGAATGGAAGTAGAATAAGGACTTTCTTCTTTTTTTATAAGTAAAGTTTTTTTAGAATACAACCGTGTCCATTTTAAAAAGGTAGAATAAGGACTTCCTTAAATACAATAACTTACTGAACGATGGTTTTCCACTTCTTCCTGTTGCTTCAGCCTGGAGGTGGGTACTGATTGACAGGAGACAAAATGATGTCTCGCTGATTTGAAAGAAGACCCAGTAGGTAGGTAGCTGCAGGTGGATAGTGGGATGCCAACTCTTCCTTTCCCTGGGCCCTCCGAGCCCCATTCCCAGAACACAGCTCTCCAGAAGATGCTGCTCCCTGCTGGAAAGAATCAGTCTGGCTCTGATATCCTTTGGCATATGGACTACATAGGACTCGGGCTGTAGGTCCTGAAGCTGTGAGAGTTAACTCAGACTTGAGAAGTAGACAGAGGTGGGAACTCTGGGGAGAAAAAGTCCAGCCCAAATAGGTCTTATGTTGTATTTAAGGTCTTCTTTAAAAAAAAATATTTTCATTTTATGTGTATGGGTGTTTTGCCTGCATGTGTCTGTGCACCACATGTATGTAGTTCCCTGGAGGCCTCTCTTGAACCTGCATTTGGGTACTAGGATTTGAACCCTGGTCCTCTCAGCAGTGTTCTTAACTGCTGGACCATCTCTCCAGCCTTACATTTTTTTTTTTTTTTTTTTTTTTTTATAGGACTTCTCTGTGTAGCCCTGGTTGTCTGGGAACTTGCTTTATAGACCAGACTGACCTCAAACTCAGAAATCTAACTCCTTCTGCCTCCTGAGTGTTGGGCTTAAAGGCATGGCTATATTTACATTCTTTTTGTTTGTTTTTTGAGACAGGGTTTCTCTGTAGCTTTGGAGGCTGTCCTGGAACTTGAGCTGTAGACCAGGCTGGCCTTGAACTCACAGAGATCCACCTGCCTGTGCCTCCTAAGTGCTGGGATTAAAGGCGTGCGCCAACACTGCCTGGTTGCACTTCTTATTTATGTAGCCCACCTGGAGGTTTTCATAACTTTTTTTAAACAGGAAGGTATTTTAAGCATGCTATACAACATTTTGAAATATGGTTTACTCATTATGTAAATAAAATTCACCTTTAGCATGTTAATTTTTATTTTATTTGTATATAGTTTTAAAACCATATTTATTTAACTTTATTCTTCTGCTCATGACAAGTATTTATGACATGTGTACATTATCTATAAATGTGTTATAGTTATAACTTTCTCCTGCCTCCTTTTATTTTCTTGTTTTTCATTACAGAAATGAGCCGTCAGACTGCTACAGCATTACCCACTGGCACCTCAAAGTGTCCGCCGTCCCAGAGGGTACCTGCCCTGACTGGCACAACTGCATCCAACAATGACTTGGCGAGTCTTTTTGAGTGTCCTGTCTGCTTTGACTATGTGTTGCCACCCATTCTTCAGTGTCAGAGTGGCCATCTTGTTTGTAGCAACTGTCGCCCCAAACTCACATGTTGTCCGACCTGCCGGGGCCCATTGGGATCCATTCGCAACTTGGCTATGGAGAAAGTGGCCAATTCAGTACTTTTCCCTTGTAAATATGCCTCTTCTGGATGTGAAATAACTCTGCCGCACACAGAAAAGGCAGAGCACGAGGAGCTCTGTGAGTTCAGGCCTTACTCCTGCCCCTGCCCTGGTGCTTCCTGTAAGTGGCAAGGCTCCTTGGATGCTGTTATGCCCCACCTGATGCATCAGCACAAGTCCATTACAACCCTGCAGGGAGAAGACATAGTTTTCCTTGCTACAGACATTAACCTTCCTGGTGCTGTTGACTGGGTGATGATGCAGTCCTGTTTTGGCTTTCATTTCATGTTAGTCTTGGAGAAACAGGAAAAATACGATGGTCACCAGCAGTTCTTCGCAATTGTACAGCTGATAGGAACACGCAAGCAAGCTGAAAATTTTGCTTATCGACTTGAGCTAAATGGTCATAGGCGGCGATTGACTTGGGAAGCGACTCCTCGTTCTATTCACGAGGGAATTGCAACAGCCATTATGAATAGTGACTGCCTAGTGTTTGACACCAGCATTGCACAGCTTTTTGCAGAAAATGGCAATTTAGGCATCAATGTAACTATTTCCATGTGTTGAAACCGAAATCAAATATTTCTGGCCAGTGTTTAAAATTTGCATTTGACTTCACAGAGAATAAGGCACCCATCTGCTTGCCAACCTAAAACTCCTGGTAGGTAGAAGCTAGACACATGAAGGTAAATAAAAAGAAAGGCTGTTAATACAGGAAACAGTTGCATGTAGTAACACTAATATATTTAAAAATAATTCAACGTAAACCACTGAAAAAAATATATATACCTAAGATGGGCATCTTTTGTATTAAGAAAGGAAACATTGTAAAATATTTCTGAACTTTGTGTTTGTTGTAGATTGATTGTATTGTTGACAACAAATTTTTGGGGGTGTGTGTCTGTGCACACATTCGTGCACATGTGTGGTTGGATTTTCTTTAACTGACAAGCCATCTGTGTGGTCATGGACCACTGCTTTCCCCTTGTGAGTCAATACATAGTGCTGCTGTGTTTTTTTTTTTTTTTTTCTTTTCTTTTGTGTGTGTATTTGCTAATTTTCTAGTTTTTCATTAAATAAATTTGACTTTCTTTTCTGTAATTCAGGTTTTTCTCACTTTTGTACCTTTTAAGTTAGTGTCTTTTTGATATTCATAATTGCTTATGTCAAAAGTTTGTGTTGAGTACATACTTTCTTTTCCTTCAATCAATTTATTAGAAATATTTTTAATTCAGCCCTTTTGTGAAAATAGGAATTCCAGAAAGGAAAGATAACATGAGAGCAGCTGTCAAAGCTGTAGCAGGTGTAAGATGGTCTTGTCTATGTGAGTTACACCACCAGGCTTACTCTTTGAAAGGTTAGGTTAGGGAGAAAATCTGATTTACATACATATTGAAAACAATCAGGCTTTTCCTCTCTTCAAATGTCTTGGGCGAATCACATGTTTAAATTGGTTCTTGTATTTATTGGTTTTGCAAAAGAGTGCATCATCATACACAGTATTTGTAATTAAAGTAAATCATTTGTTTTTAAGAAAAAGGCAGTTTGCAAAAAAAAATGTTTTTGGTCTTTTATAATTCTCATTAAAAGATTATCTGGCAAATTAAAAAAAAATCTTAATGTGTTTACTTTAGCTCTAGGTTGGTTTGTTTTTTTTCCCCTGGAGCTGAGGACTGAACGCAGGGCTTAGCATTTGATAACCAAGTACTCTCTCACTGGGCTACATCCCCAATCCCTGCTCTACTAGATAGCTCTTTGGCAAAGTCCAAAGGTATTTTCTTGTTCCAGTCTGCATTTTAAAGCAGAAGAGTATATGCCACCATTTTGAAGTATGTTAGTTTTGTTTTGAAGCACAGAAAAGACTGCCCCCCCCTTTGATTTCCACGAGGATATTTGGAGTATGGCTAACTAATGCTGATCACTATTTTCCTTTATAAAAAGTGAGTTGCTTCAGAGTCTTGACCCTGCAGCGTGATTGCCAAGTTCCCATGTACTAGTTTAGTTCTACTCAACTTACCAGCTGTGTGTCCTTGGGCCCAGTTTCCTGATGTGTAAAATGGAGTTAAATTGTGGTGAGTATGTGAATGGTTAAATGAGGAAGGCGTACTTTAACCTGAAACAGTGCTTCACACAGCATACGCATCCAGGCAATGTGGGGCCCTTAGTGTCATGTCCCTAGTTTCTCAGGCACTCAGCAGAAATCTGCCTTTGATAATTTCATGTTTTCCTAGTGGGTACCCCAAGCTTAGAAAGTCATTGAGAATTAATTTGGGTTTCTCCTTTATCCTATTTCCAATTCTGGATTATGTAGCTTGGTTCTGTTAGACATTTTTAGTACAGGTAAAGTCTTGAATTGGTGGTCATGTGCTATATTTTATAGCTATATTTTGGGTGAATAGTTCAGCCACAGATTACAACCAGATTTTTGTTTGCATGAATATTTAGAAAAGCTGTGTGTGTGTGTGTGTGTGTGTGTGTGTGTGTGTGTGTGTTGGGACAAGGTGTTGCTAGCACTGGTTGTCCCTGAATCCTGTATCTCACCTTAGTGCCCACCAAATGCTAGGATGACAGATAAGTGCCACAAAGCTTAGCTATAAAGCAACTGATTATATCTCTGGGGGAATGTCATTTTGTGGTTCCACTGTATTTTTGCCTAGACTTTAACATCTCAAATGTCATATCCAGTAGAAATCCATAGTCTCCTCCATGAAAGCAGAGCTGACTAACATTTTTATTTTACTAGTTGAATGCATGTGCATGTTCTTTTACACATTTGTTTTGAGAATGTTGATTGGTTATTTCTGTAACCCTCACAATGTAACATGGTCACCTTAGACATCACCATGTTGATGCGAAGGCTGGTTGTAGCTCACACTTATAATCTTAGAGTTTGGAGGCCAAGACAGACTCAAGAGTTTGAGGCCACCCTGCTCTACATAACAAGACTTTGTCTCCAAAATAGAAAAAAACAACTGAACAAAACTTGGAATTTTTTTTTTTTTTTTGGTTGTTATTGGGCTTTAACCTAGGACCTCAGCATACCCCATGAGCAAGCATTACACCGAGCTGAATCCCTAGCAAAAACATTTTAGTAACTTGACCACTCACTGTAATCTTAGCTAATGTGATGTTTGAGACTTTATTTTTGCTACTTACAAATTAGCCTGTACATTCTTAGTATTAGATATCTTAGTATGTTTTGGGCATTAATATTTTAAAAGTCTTGATACTTTTATCAGTACTTTCTGGAGAGGCTTCATCAATGGGGCCCAGAATCGTGAAGGGTTTTGTTTACCTCTGTTTTTGCTAATTTTAGCAAGTGAAGGCATATTTTACGTATATTTAGCAGCAAGCAGGTAAGGGTGACATATTAACATTTATTAGCTGTTAAGTCTTCATAGTCCTGATCCCGCAGATGAGAAATGTGGCTACATTTCTTCCTTCCTTTGAGATTTGGCATACACAAATGAACTCTGTCTTTACATTATTTTGTTAGAGTGGATAATTTCTGTTGATGCCTTGGACCTTTTGGTGTCTCTTGGGAGTTTTGTGGGTAGGTATACATATCCTCTGTGACTTTGTTCTTTTGCTTTTGTTACTCCTGTTTGTGTTGCTCAGGATCAAACTAGGGCCTCTCATGTCACACCCTCAGCTCTTAGCTTGAATTTGTCATACTAAATTAAGTTCTGGGCCAGTTTTGTGTGTTTCAGTGGTTGGGGAAGTTTTCCTTTGCTGTAATTGTTTTTTTTAACTGTTTATGACTTGAAAACTCACATTAATGCCGTTTGCACTTCGGTGATTTTAATTCAGAAAAAAGTGACAGTCATTCTTCATTTTCTGTCCTCAAAGAATTTTAGAGCTCTTTAAAGTCAGAAACATCTACAGTGATGATAAATAAAATGTAGTTTTCTTTAGATTCTGGGAGGAAAGTCTGGTAATTAATCCAAATTTAAAAACAAAGTGGGTTAGAGAGAAGAGTCAGTGGCTAAAAGCAGTGGCTGCTCTTCCAAAGGACCTGGGTTCAGTTCCCAGCACCCATGTAGTGGCATACAACCGTCTGTAACTCCACTTCCTGGGGATCTGATGCCTTCTGGCCTCTATGGGCACCAAGACATGCACACGGTATTCAAATGTACATGTAGGTAAAACACCTGTACACATAAAAAAAATTGAAAACAATTACCAAAAAAAAGCAAGCAAAAAAACCCCAAACAAAAAAAACCTGCAACCATCCAATATTGGATTAAACCAAACATCAGTTTTTGACAATCTCATTAGATGGACAAAAATAAAAATGTAACAGTGAGTAGAGCATATTTGTATGCGTGATCTAAAAATGGTAATCCCAAAGTAGCACTAGGGAGGCTGTAGGAGAAGGGTCGTAACACACCACTCTGCGTAGGTAGGTAGTTAAGCAGCCCCCTGGGCTGCAGAAGAGACTGAGCTGTGTTCCATGGTGGCTGATTAAAACACATGAGTTCTTGATGTCTGACTTACCCAGTTAAGCAAGTTATATCATTTACCAACAGAAACTTACATTTATCAGGCTGGCATTATCCAAAGTTTAACTTTCATATAAAGCAACTACAGTGTATCTCAAGTGAATTTTTATTGAAGACAAATTTTCCCTAGAATTAAAATCTTTTTGATAATGTTTTTATGGAGCTAGGCCTTGCAGTGCAGCTCTGTAGCACTGGCTGGCTTGGAACTTGCTCAGTAAGACTTTGGTGGGTATGAAAACCATGCCCAGCTCATTTGTTTTTGTTTTTAATAAAGAATAATTTTCATTGGAAGGCACACTGCATGTTAATACAACAAGAAGAACATTAGTATTGGGTCTTAACCATCTAATTGGAGATGGATTAAGCCTACTTTTCTTGCTCAAGTTGCTGCTAGGGGTTCTCCTGGGGATGGCCTCATACATAATAGTTTCTCCTTGTGGTCTTAGTAATGTAACAAACATGTTACTTCATTAAACAAAACTAGTGAATAATCCCAGATGAATTTTGTATTTGGAAGGATTGTCAAAATTAATACTTTTGTGTGACTACTGTCAAGACTTACTAATTGTGTGGCTTACTTCATGTAAGTTTCATAGGGGAAGACACTAAGTGCTTTTGCCCTGAGAAGGTGACTATCTGACTTGAGTTGGTTTGGTCTTGATATGAAGCATCCTCCAAAATGGCTGGTGTCAAAAGCTTGACCCCATGATGGTATTGAAAAGTGGATTACTGATAACCTCATCAGTGGATATGTCCATGGCTGAATAGATTGTTGGGGAGGGCTAGTTGGAGAGAGTTATGTCACTGGAGAATGTATTTTCAGTGGGAAATGTATTTTGGAAGGGTGTGTCTTGTCTTTGAATCTTCCTCTCTGGCTCTTCTGCTTCCAGCTGCCATGAGATGAACAGCTTTACTCTGGCATGCCTTCCCTTTCCACATCACAGTGTTCTGCTTCAACACAAGTCCACAGCAATGGGGCAGCTGTGGATGGAAACCTGAAACCATAAGTCCAAAGAAGTCTTTTTCCCAGGTATTCTTATCACAGCAATGAAAAATGACTGTCCCTTCACCTAGTATTAGAAATAAATGGTAGACATCCGTAACCACTGTGCTCCGATGAAAATCAGTGTACTGTAGCTCAAGCAGTGACTCTGAGTTGGGAGTTGGGGCTGCAAATGGAACCCACTTGTGTTTCCACTGTTATGAAGAGGGTATGTGGTATAGCCATAAGTTGGTTTGTGTTTTAGAGACTGAAGCCATGGTCTCTCCAGTTAAGCAAACATTCTGGAGAATGCAAATTTTAATTGTTATCAGAGAAGGGGAAGGAAAACCATGTTTTAGCACATACACTGACTTGGTATTTTTTTTTTAAAAGATTCAGGTATGTTTTATGTCATTCATAATATGGTATCTTATAGTCACTGACTTACCAATTGGTAGTAAATATTTTAGGAATAACTAAGACAAGGCATTTGCCCCTAAATTTGCATGCAGCTTATTGTGCATCTCAGGATCTCAGTCTTATTTAGTACATAGAAAAGTCCAGAGGGATGATAAATGAACAGAATCAGTTGAAACTATACTATAAAGTTGATAACCAAAGGTGCTTACAGCTTTATTCAACTTTGATACCTGAAACTTCTGTGCATGTGAGATTTCCAAATGGTATGGCCAAGGTAGAAAAGAGATGGGGCTGGGGTTGAGTTGTGTAGCTCAGTGTTTGGGTCTTACCCAGTATGTGCCATGTGCACACACACATGCACAGTCAGAAAGTTGGATAGATGTTATCTCAGTTGTTTGTGGCTAGTAAAGGACAAGTGTATTTCTCACAGATCTGGATGCAGAAGATGAAGGTCAGGGTTGGTGAGTTGAATGGTGGGGGCCAGATGCCCCTACCTCCAAGATGTTGCCCCAGTGCTAAGCTGGTGGAGAACTATACCTGCACAAGGTAACTAGCTTGAGCCCTTTCCTAGTGAGGGTGGAACACATGCATTTTGGGAGGACATACTGATCAGAGCACCACCATAGAAGTTCTACTTCTGGGCACACATCCCAAAATAATTAGGCAGGGATTTGGATTTGTACATTCCTGTTCATAGCCAACAGCAGAGGAGTGGATAAACAAAATGTGCCATATGTATACGGTGGCTTGTTCAGCCATAAAAAGAAAATTTGATACATGATATAGGGATAAACTTGACAAGTTGGCGAGATGTCAGATAAGAAAACAAAAAAAACTTCAAAAGCACTTTTATAATAAGGAAAAGTGGAAGAGTGCTACCAGGTCTGGAATCAGGGGAATGAGTTCAGTTATTTGTGTGGGAACACTGAATGTTGAAGATATCCCTGAATTAAATATTTGTAAGTGGTTACAGTGGTGATTTTATGCACATTTTCTCTGATCAAAACCTCTCTAGCAAACTAAAAACAGTGTTAGAAAAACAAAAACCACACTGTTAAATCCCAATGGCTCCTTTCAAAAGGAAAGATGGCTGGAGAGGGCGGCTCGCCAGTTGAGAGTGCTCACTGGAGGTTCTTCTAAGGCTCAGATTCAGTTCCCAGCATTCACACCAGGCAGCTCCCAACCACTTGTAACTCCAGCTCCAGGGGATTTGACTCCCTCTCCTGGCCTCTGAAGGTGCTCATGTACACATGCACATACACACAAAGACAGACTCAAATCTTTTTTTAGAAAAGAAATAATTCAGTTCAGACAGTACAGATATGCCCTGTGAAAGTCCTGTGTAGGTCAGTGCTGATGTCTAGGACCCAGAGAACTCCAAGTGTTAAAAGATATTTGTGACCACCTCAGGTATGAGGTTTGAGGCAGCACAGTGTGAAGGCTCCCTGGCTGGGCACAGCCAATGAATTGTTCCTTCACTCATTGTGCAGGATTACAGAGGCTGATACCTCAACCAACTAGTCCTGGTTTGGCATTTCCTCCAGAGGTTTTATTAGCAGGTTTGAACAGGGTTTCAGGGATGTACAGGCCCCATTCTCATCCACAAAGTATTAAAAGTATCTTTATATTAGCTCTAACTACGTTTTATAATGGAGGATTATGACTTAGAATTAAAATTGAGTTGTTTACAATGCATTCTTGTTGAATCAGCAATAATACTGTTATTTCACACATGAACATGTGTGAAGCAGGATTCAGAAGCCTGGGGACTTCATCCTCCTGGTGCCCTGGACTGAGTAACAGGAGAGGACAGGCATGCAAAGTTGACACCCTTGGGATTTGGTCCCATTGCTGCTTCTGTTAGCCTAAGACCTGTATTGTCATGTATGGTTCTCGTCCTAGACTCCTTTAACTTTGAGCTTTGTCTTTGCTAGTTTCCTAAGTGATTGGTTCTAGGATCCAGTAAAGTCTACATGGGTCTCCAGAATATATGCCAACCATTATTCTTTTTTGAGATAGGGTCTCTCTATGTAGTCCTGGCTGACCTGGGATGTGGTGTAGACCAGGCTGACCTTGAACGTCAAGAGATCCACCTGCCCCTGCCTCCTGAGTTGCCTGTACCACACACTTGACTGACCCAGTTATTAAGCACAGCAGACATATCCGAGGGACTCCTGAATCTCTACTCCACATCCCTGAGTTGGACTTAGGTCTGTGGTGGGCCTGAGGGTTGACATTTCTGGCAAGTTCTTTGTTCTGGGACCACAGAGAACCTCTGTTCTGTATCTTTTCCAGGAACACCCATCCCACTGATGACCACACTTCTAGCTTTAATTCTTTATTAAAACAACAGTGCTGTAATAAACATCAACAGCTACTTGAACAGACGCATTGCTACTTTGATTATGTCCACAAATTAGGGATATTTTACTTATTCTTACTGGTGCCTAAAGCCAGCCTTGCCAGGACCTCTTGGCACCTCACAATTAAAATTCCAACTGACACTGGGGCCTAAAGTTTGCTGTCAATGAGACCAGGTCTGGTCTTGACAGTAAAGCCACCATCAAAAGCTGCATTTAGAACTTCATCCAGGCAGCTTGCTGTGACGAAACTTAGATCCTGTCTGATGTTGCTTGGGATTTCTTCAAGGTCTTTTTCATTCCTCTGTGGAATTATGATATGCTTCAGCCCTGCTCGGTGTGCTGCGAGTACTTTGTCTTTAATTCCACCCACCTGCCAGGCAAGAGAAAACAGCTGTCAAGGGTTATGGTCTGCCAAGTGGATCTACTTCTCACTGATCTGTCACCGACTTAGATGTTCAGTCCACCTCCCATTTTGTTATAGTAGGAGCTGGGATGCCACTAAAAGGGTTAATGGTAGCCTATTTAAAAATGTTTGTGTTACTTCCATATTAAATATTTTTAATGAGAGAAAAATCTGAAATTACGGTTATGGATACCTTTAAAAATATATGTATATGTATGTGTGTCATTGCAACCTTGTATTTAGGTT